AAAAAAAAAAAAGTATTAAAGTGAATTTAGTATATTAATTTTAATTTATTTAACAAATTTTGTTTTTATCAATTTATTTTATTTAACATTAAATGTCAGTATAAAAAAATTACTTTTTTGGAATTTATATTTAAATACCTGTATATGAATAGAAATTCTCTTTTTAATTTTAGCTAAAATTGTAATTTTTGGCTAAAATTAAATAAATATAAATATAAATTATAATTATTGGATAAGAGTAACCATATTGGTTATTTTATAGAAGTGATTAATATATTAGCCTTTCATTTAATAATTGTATTATTATATATACAGTATATTCAGTAATATGTATTAGAAAATTGAAAGCTATTGGAATCTTCCAATTTCAAGCCTTTCAAATCCAATAAAAAGTCATTGGAAGCATCCAATGTACATCACTGCATGTGCTGAAAAATTTACCTTATTAAAATCATTATAATTAAAATTATTAAAAATCAAAAGTATATATAAATTGCTTCAAAGTATTACCAAAAATTTTTTGACAATATGAACTTTGTTTTATTACAACTGTTTCTTGTTTTAAGTAAACATGTACTTTTTTTCATAATATACTGTACTAAAGTATTTTTTATAAAAATTTAAAAGAATATGTATAAAAGTAAAATATTAAAATATGTTTATTTAATTATTTTTTCGTTAGGTTTATTTAGACAAGCTTCCATTAAAATTATTACCTTAAAATTAATAAAGTACAAATAATCATTTTATAAAATTGAGAGAAATATGTTTTTTCACACTTTTGTTAAAACATTACAATAGCATTTTGCCATTTCCTATTTTTTAGTAGTACAAAAGGAAATTTTTTTATTAATTTAAACAGCTTATATTCATCCAGATATTCACCGAATATTCATTTGATCTGGTGAAAATTTTCCGTTAGGCAGACGCAGACCGTACCGCTAGGGCGGAGGGCGGATATGTCCGGCAGATCATCGAGTTATTTGGCTACGATGTAATTATATGATCCAAATTATCATTCAAACCATTTTAGTACAAATAATCATATCAATGAAATACGATTTAAGAAATTTCCTTCAAATTTTTTTGATCTTAACAATTATGCATTTGTTTAATAATTTGATTCGTCATCCTTTGTATATAATATCTTACGATTGTTTAAATGTAGGTGATACAACGTGTGCAGACGATTGTATATATGAAGTTTTGAAAGAAAAATCATTAGATAATTCGAGAGATAAATAGTACAGAAGGCTCAGATTTTCCTTTTTTTTGATTTTAAATACTGTATATACAGTACACTTCGCTACTGTATATAATTTACTGCGGCCACAATCGAAGATCGAACAATCGAACAAACGTTCATAAAATCGTATTTATAATCATATTCTGAAAGATCAATTATATTTTGCAAAATAATAGAATTAGCACAAGGAATATCAGGAATATCATATTTTTATGAAATCTAAAAAATGTATAACTTTATATTTTATTTATATATTAATTAATTTACATGATACTGTATAATAGTAGAGAATATAAATATTATTTAAGTAAAAAAATTTGATTATTATTAGAAATCTCTATTGCTATATTCACCATATACAGATTGTTGTATTATGTGTTTATGGTTTTCTTTCACATTCCTAAAATAATAATGATATTACGTAAGTTAATATACAATATTAAAAAATAAAAATGATTGCTTTATTTGCTTACCCGTTTAATAAATCCAACAATACACCAACCTTTCTTAAAGAAATAGACATTTCTCTAATTTGAATGGCATAAGAATCTGGAAAATTATTATCCCTTTGATATTTGCATGAACAATCATCAAAATTCCAATGAACTTCAGAATGAATATCATTTCCTTCTCTGCGAATAAATAAAGTACCAAAATCAAATAATATTAAATGTGAACCATTCTCGTAATGAAACCTAACACGTATCGATCCTTCTTTATTTATATCTTGAGAACGTGGAATATCTGAAATATCTAGCTTGAGCTTATCAATATTTTCATTATCTATGCGTATAGTAAAAGTGGACTTTGGAGGGTCGTAAGTTATTGGTGCGCCTCTTATCGAAAGACTATTACAATCATACTTTTTTATAAAGTTTTGATATATTTTAGTTACTATATTTGAGTGAGACGAATTGTTATAAAAAAAAAAAAGAAAAAATTTAAATTACTTCAATTAGTAGTTTATTCTCTAAAATATATTGAGTCGGTTTAATTAAAATTTCTGTAATTATTACGTTCCAATCTTTACATACTCTTCTAAGAGAATTAATATGTTTAAAGCTTTAAACGAAAAAAAAAAAAAAGAAAAAATTAGGATTCTTTATTTTTGCAAATTAATTTAGAAGAATTATCAAATTCTTACCTTGAACCTTTTACATTAACCAGGTCTTTAAGAATTAAAATTACCAATTCTTTTGGTAAACGCGGTTGTCGTGGCTGTTGCATTATTCTTGTTTTTTAAGATTTGACCAAAAAACTCGAGTTTATCAATAAATTCAAAAATTCTATAATAGAAATGATTTTCTAAGAAAAAAAAACTATCCGTTCCATTTTATATAACACCAAGGTAAATAAATATATCAAATGATAAAAACAGTGCCAATAAAAGAAATTCATGCGAGAGAAAGAGATATACTAATTGGTTTAAAAGTAGTACTAGAAAAGCTCTTTTGTTCTAATCTCTATCATTGTTTAAAAGATAACATCATAGGATCAAGATATATCGGAAATACCCGAGATCTTTTACCTTTTTTTCTTGATGTTTTATACATACATATCTGATAAACTGATGGATCTGATAATGATAGGCTATTTCATTGACTAAATAGATAAGAAAAATTGAAACAAAATGTGAAAATCATGAATTGTGCTGCATTAACTAACGTTTGACAAGATCAAAAAAATTCACAAATATGCGTGATATTTACTATAAATAATTATATTAAAAAAGGTAGTTTTAAAAAAGAATTGCTAAAAAAAATTGAATTCACTACAGACTAGTCGGCGGTTCTCGGTAATATTAAGCAGTTAAAACTTTTGCTTATCAATCATTGTTTAAGAGCAGCTGACCTGGGCTTAGTTATGACTTTCTAAAAAGAGACAATCATTTATTGGAATTTTTTCTTTAAGAAGAAACTTCGTTTTTTGAATCTTAATTATTTTACCATGGAAAAACCGTGAAAATTAAAGAATGTTTTCATGAATTATGAAACTTTATAATCGATGATAACGGGGAATGATTTATTATAAAATTTTATTAGTGTAAGTAATGTTTGAGTTTCTAATAAATATAATTCAATAATTTACTTGAAAATTAATTAATTGTTATATAAATTTCGCGTCAATCTAGTCAAAGTGTTGCTCCACGAGAATTTGGTTAATTATAAAATTAAAATCCTCGATCTTCTCGATTGATTCAAGGCATTTAATTTAATCTTTAAACTTATAATATGAAAAGTAACATAAAAGTATTCACAAATGAATAAACCACTTCCTATATTTTGGTGATATTTATTTTCATTCATACAAATGCAAAAGGATCAAAGTTTAATGATAATCTTATTGATAACATGATAATTATAAAAATAAATATCATTTTTAATTACAGAATGTTGAATGCACTGACTGAATATTATACCGATATTATAAATACACTTCAGCGCGTTGCGTCATATATATTTAAGACGCATACATGATTCTTACTGATTATTTCCAAAAATAGAAAATTATATGGTTGATGTACTCATGACTTATTACACGAGACTAAGTATAAAAAGTTCAATTTTGTTTTTAATTTGTTTGACGCGTTGGAAAGTAAAAGTTCAAAAATAAATCATTTTTTTTTTAATTTTATAATTTTAAAATTTGGAATATACATAAAATTTGTAAGACCAATGCTAATATATGATACATGACAGTCCATCTGACGACCGAAAGTCATTTAAAAAGGTGACATTTCCCATCACTGATAGAAAGTGGAAACATAAATTTGTTTACTTATTTTAATATAATTGCGAATCGTATTTAGCAAAAGAAATAAGAACGAATTACATATTTTCTTCATCATTTTTTGGTAGCATTTCTTTGTATATCATTGTTCTTGCTGTCTTATATTTAATCTTGCCATTAGTTGTAATAATTTTAACTTTATTTTCGAACTCAAAGGAATAATGATACCAGCATAAGATTTCTTTTAGACCCATCCTTATAGCCTCATCATATCAATAAAAACGAAACATTCCGCATTTACGACTTTCAAATTTATTGAAATTATTGTTAATGGCAATTTTGGTTCATTCACATAGTTTTAGTACTCTTGTAAATGAAGTTATGTCATGGAATGGTGTTATATCATTAATATTGATCTATCAGATAAGTAAGAATTTTTTTACTAAAATTTAAAGAGTTGTGGTTTTTCTTTTACTTTTTTTCTCCTAATAAACCGAGTAAGTCCTCTGTATGATGTACCATCAATTTCTTATTGTGAGTGACGCATTTTTTAAAATGTTAATTTGGATCTACTACGAAATCCCGAAAATCAAATACCCGATTAAGACATTGTAGCCCGCTTAAGCCCATTCATATAGAACGTTGCCACCTTAAGCTACAAAATTATTCCTTTATTAAATGCAAAAATATTAACATATCCCAAATTCACTCTCATAAAATATAATAATGCTTGGTTAAAATATAATAAAATCCCAATATTTTTCCATTTCAAAATATTTCTTAACCTAAAAATCACTCTAATAAATATCCCAAAATTTCCATCTTTTCATATAAAATTTCCTACAGTACTTCAAAACCAAAAATTACCCATTTCTAAGTACGTCAAATCTGAAATCTCATAGTTACATCCCCTTAATAAGTTTTATCTTTTATTTTTCTATATATATATATATATATATAAAAAAATAATTTTCATTATTTTTATATTCTTCTTGAGCTCCTTCCCCTATCATAATGAACTCTCTATTTAGTAATATGACTTCATAAATATATCATGTGAATTATCACAAACTCAAATATGTTAGTTAAATCATTAAAATATAATCAAACAATCAAGAATAGTTTTAATATTTTCACTAGATATCTTCGGCATTACAACATCCCTTTTAATCTCGAAATTCATAATCCCGAAAATCTACAATTCAAAATTCAGTATTTTCGAAATTCATTATTCCGACAGTTCATTATTCCGAAATTACTGTAAAATTGTTCAGCTATAAAGTTTATGTATTATATTATTATATATAATATTCTTATACTTTCACAATTATTAACTATAAATGTTAATTGATTACTAATCGCATTCATAAATATAATGTTGAGATAATGGATCGTGGCTCCCGAAAATTTTAAATAAACGTAATTAATACTGAATATATTGCAGATAATGTAGATTTCAAAATTTTTATCCATATTTTAACCATTAAAATTTTATTCCTGAATGCATTTGAGATGAATATAAAATAAGATGAATAAGCAATTTTGTTTATTATCTTAATTAATATAATCGGATTCATACTTACGGAAATATCCTCATTTAAAAAAAAAAAAAAAAGAAATCGACATTTGAAATAAATCTGATTTGAGACACAACAACGCGCCGTATGGTTGTTTTTCTTTTGTAAATGATCAGCATATATACGAATATAAATTTTATAAAATTGGAAACTGTTAAATGTTATAATTAAGATGGCAAGGTTGATTCGTCTGGATTAAATTTGAGCAAATCTTTTCTTTTTTTTATCTTGTAATTTTATATCAACGGTCTTGTACTGTTTGCTTACTTTTAATAAATGAAAATCACAACTAGAGATTTTTTTAAAAAAAATATTTAAATTAAGAGGGGTTACTGATGACGTACTTGGCGTTGATCAGCTAGGTTTGATCAATGTAACAGTCACTTTTTAATGACCCAAAAAATACAAAAAAAAAAGGAAAGATTAATTTAGAAATAATGGCATGCCGCTGATATGGGGGTTCTTTTTTTTGTAATTAAAGTTCTGAAAATATTCCCACAAAATGTCAAAAAAGTTCATTGTGATTACCATACTCGGAATTTATAAATTTTTTTAAAAAAAGAAATAATTAGAAATGAAATGTAATGTAAAACTTGATTAATTTCATATTTCCTTTTATTAAAAAAGAAAAAAAATATCGGTTTTTATCAACTATAAAATTTAACCATATTAATTAACTAACACATTAACTACTGTATTTATATTATTTGTTAGAACTGAATGCTATTTTTTATATTTAATATTATAATTTAAAAAAATATCGCAGCATTTCCTAAAGAATTATTTTAAATCATCATCTTTTCTTTTTTCTTTAAATAAATTATTTGGGGATGTATTGATTTAGACTAAACATGTTGATGTAAAAATAACGAGATATCTATTCAATAAAAGACATTTATTAGTTAGGATTTTTGCTTATCAATCAACCACCGGACCACTAGGAGATCGACATTTTTCCTAACGATAGACTAACTAATATATGCTCTTTTAATCTGATCCTAGTAATACTTTTTTGAATTTTTGCGCCACAGAATTCTTAGTTGGGAACTTTACCAATTAAATGAGATTGATGAGGAGATAAAGGATCACTAGAAGATCAACATTTTTCCTAATGATTGAATAACTAATATATGTTCTTTTTAATCTGATCCTAGTTAAGGTTGGTTGCCGTAAGTAACAATTATTATATATCGAATTACAACCTTTAGCGATTGTAATATTATAAACGTAAGCTGTAAATTGGCTGTAAATACTACACGATTGTGGTTAGCTAAAAGATGGTAATTTTGATTTACAACCATTATATATTTACTTGACTTTTGGACTTACAACTATTTACGGAGACCAACACTAATCCTAGTAATACTTTGTGAATTTTTACGCCACGGGATTCTTAGCTGGTTTTCATTGCCATTTACGTTGTTAGTTGGAACTTTGCAAATTAAATGAGATATAAAGGAGCGATTTTACCGTTCATCCTGTGAAAGAGCATAGATCTCCACATGTCTAGATTTTTCCCTTTTATAGTATGAATACGTAGATCTTTGTTATCATAACGCTAGCGCCCACGTTACGGATCTCAAGATCTATTTTGTATAAACAAACGAATTGGCTTTTTTGCTTACAATTATTTAATCAAAATTTTTCATAATTTATAAATGAAATGAAATTAAACATACGTTAGTTTCAAAGTAACGAGATTAATATTCTTAGCCCCATAGGTAACCCCTTGATCCTTAGGAGTGATTCCTTCTAACCCCCATTAATCATCTCCTAATTTTATATGTACATACATATGTTACATATACTCTTCATATTTCCCTGAAAACAAATATTCCGATTTCTTTGTGGATAATCTTTTACCTATATAATTTATATTATTGAAAGAATATTTATAAAATTGTCATAGTATTTAATATATGAATTTACTTATAATATATTTTATTATATATTATATTTTATATGTTAAAAATTTACATAACCCCTTCATTCAATGTAAAAAAAAAAGTATATAATAAAGTACAAAATTTAAAAGGGATTGTACTTAAAATGTTTAAAATGTCAACCTCAAATAATCGTTTCGATATGCCTGATTTTCCTGATGATATCGAACTTCCTTTTCCTCCTAAAATAAACATTTACAATTTATTATCAAAAAGCAAATTACCTGATGGAACTAATAAAAGAATTCCAAATGCGTTTATAATTTATAGAATGGCTTTAAATCACGAACTTGTGTCTAAAGGTTATAAATATTCTTTGTCACAGGTTTCTACTATGGCTAGTAAGGCTTGGAAGAACGAATCGAAAGAAGTTAAACAAGTATATAATAGTTTGGTTAATAATGCCAGGGTTCTAGAGTCTTCTTTAAATGATGAAAATAATATCACAAATTATAATAATGCAACGATAGGCGAAAATCAATTGTTTTCTCAGAACGACCGAAACACAGTTATGTCACCTACAACTGCTACTATTGCTGAGTCTTACACACCAGAATTCATAACTTCTGAAAACCCAATATTTATAAGTCATATTAATTCTTACCCTTCTCTTAATAATCTTGTTACAACCAACATTTCTTCATTTGATGAACGTCTTCGCATATTAGAAGAACGTCAAAAATTGATAGCTGAAAGGATAGGCATTAAATTTTAAATTACAGAAAATTATAAAAGCAAAAAATTGATTTATTAATTAATAATAATACTCCTTATATAATTTGTATAATCTGTAAATAAGAAGAAAAATTTTATTTTTAAGAAAAAAAAAAAAAAAATTAAAAAATTTTATTAACAAAAAAAAAATTAGCATAATTAATTACCAAATCAAATTTTTGTATATACCTAATCTTGTATAAATAGCTTCTCTTTATTTATTATTTTAATTTTATTGGAGATTCATTAATTCATTCTTCTATTTAATTTCAAAAAGTTTTACATAATTTCGCAATTAAAAAAAAAAAATTTAACTTTTAATTTTCTATAAATAAGGAGAGCATGCTAAATGCCGCGTAGAACCGTACCACGGCAACGCCTAAGACTTAATAATCCGGATGCATGCATCATCTAGGATGGGTGTTTGGATGGGGTGTTTTTTATGTGATAAATATTTTGTGGAAATTTATAAATAAAATTTTATTATTATATTAGTGTCTTTTATAAGCTTTTAGTACATATAGGAATAATTACAAGCATATTGATTCTCATAAATAAAAAGTATAAAGAACAACTTTTTATTAAATAAATGTCTATTTAAAAAAAATACTTAAGAAAAATACATACTATGCATATAAATTAATAAATAGGCCCTTAAATTATTCAAAGTTCTAAAGTAAAATGACTAAAATCACAAACAAAATCATCAATATCGAATGTAGGTCGTTTGATTATATATTTATATTGATAGTCCTTTGTATTTAATTTCCTAAAAGATAGAAAAATATTCAGTTAAAAATATTATTTATATATGCGCATATATATACATAAATTAATTTGATTCTACTTACTCATCCAATAAATCTAAAATTACACACATTTTCTTCAAAGATATAATCAATTTTTCAATTTTAATAATAATACCAAAATAATCATATTGTGAATCTTTTTTTGATATACACGTACAATCTTTATAATTCCATTCAATACTATATTTAACTTCCATCATTTCATTTGAATTTCTTTCTTCATAAAATAACAAAGTACCTAAATTAAATTCAACTAAATATTCTTCCCTATTTTCATATTTAAAATGAACACTTATTTTCCTTTTTTCAATATTTTCAAGTATATTAAAAAAGTATGGATAATACAATTCAAAGTTATTACCATTTATTAAAATATTACAACTAGAATTCGAAAAATCATACTTTATACTTTTTTTTGAACAATTATTAAAACAATACTTTTTCTTTCGAAATTAAAAAGAAAATCTTAATGTTAGATTATATATAAAAAAAGGTTTCTTTTAAAAAAGAAAGTTTTTATTAATTACCCCAATTAATAGTTTGCTCTTTAACCTGAATTCGATTTCTTCAGTTAATACAAGTTCGATTAAATTTTTCCATCTTTTACACACTATACAAATAGAATTCATATATTTAAAACTTAAAAGCAAAGGTGTAATTAGAATTATAACATTAAAATTTTTATTTTATAAATAAAAGTTTTATCTTACCTTGTTAAGTTTAATAATTCTTTAAAAGCTATTATTAATAATTCGTTCGCTAAAAACTGCGCCATTAAGAGATTATAAAACAAGAAGAAAGTTGGAGGAATTTTCTTTTTCAGTCATTTTTACAAAGCAGATATAAATAAATATGCGTGAATTAGTCACATGTGCATGAGGGCGATTGATTGGCTAATTATTTATATTGTTATCAATTTTTTAAAGTACTTCATTCATTTATATGGATCATAGAAAAAAGGTAAAATTGTATGATTAATTAACATTCATTCCATCGCGAGAAACCGCGTCGATACTTATTATAGTTAATGTCGATTATACTTTTCTATCGTAAAGTTTGGTTAAACGATGACTTATATAGGGTGATTATCGAATTTTGGCCATGTGTAAGAATTAGAGTTATTTGATAGAAAAAAAATATATAAATTAGTGATAATAATAATTAAGAAACAAAATTTCGGGTAACTTTAATCATACAGTATATCAAACTGCTTGATCGAGTTTAAAATATATATACATTCATGTATTTATACTGATCTTTATTTTTATCGATTTTTATTTTCCTAAATAAAAGAAATGTTTATTAGTCTTTTTAAAAAAACATATATATAATAAATATATAAAATTTTCATTACTCACTCATCCAATATATTAATGAAATAATCAATTTTTCAATCGTATTAAATTCCTTAGTATAAATGCACATACAATCCTTATGAATTCACTCAATTTCAGGATTAATTATGTAAATATTCATGATTTAGACATGAAAATTAACACGTAATTTTTTTTCAATATCTTCAGGTATCTTAGAAGTAGATGTGCTATGACGAGCTTTAATAAAAATATTAAAAGATTTCGAAAAGTCGTATTTTATACTTTTTGCTGAACAATAATTATACTTTTCTTTCATTGAAAATATTTAATAATTTAATAATTTATAAATAAATAATAAATTCTTTAAAAGTCATCTCGTTTGCGTTTGCGTCATGTATAGATAGTATTTTTATCGCATTTGTATGAAATCAAGTCACACCAGCACACCAGTTATACATGGGAATTAGAATCAGGTGATACAGATATATTACCGTTGCCGTTGTAACACCAACAGTTCTACCCACGTGACCGGTGAGGTGGGTATGATGAATATTTTTAGGACACGTAGGGTAGAAAATTTGTGTTACTGGGGAAGTGATATTACCCACGTAAACCTATGTACACTGCATGATGTTGAAGACTAACTCAGTGATGTTATTTGAAGCTTCCAACGACATTTTTTTGGAATTGGAAGTTCCATTGGAATTATTGGAAGATCTTGATCTTCCCAATACAATTCTTTTTGTTGCAATTAAAATGGAGGAGGTAAGTGAATAGTAGTTTGGAAGATGATCTTTTAGTGAATACAACACACCCAGCAATAGATAAAAAAACAAAATAGGAGTTTAGAAGTTTGTTTAGTTCCTCTTTCCTGATTATCTAAATAAAAGTGTTAAATATGTAACTTTCTAAAATATTTGTTTTTGTATAATAAATATTATTGGATGGAATGTTTCACGTGATAAAGATACAATAAAAATCTGAATATGCATTGGAATTGGAAGATAAAAAGTTCCAAAGTGCTTCAAATCTTCCTGTGAACATCACTGGTCATTAGCCGCCAACAAATTAATGAAATTAACGAATAAAATTTTCATATTTTAAAGTAGTTACCAAACACATCGTAATATTTGATTTGAAATCACGAACTATTCATAAGTAAAATTGTACTTTTAAAAAAAAATAACCAAAAATTTTAGGTCATTCAAATAAATGTTCTTTTACATTATAGTAGAATATTTGTTTCTAATAAGTAAAATAGTCTGGAGAAAAAAAATCAACCTCACCAAAATCAATATAATCAATATCAAATAAAGTTGCGCTAAACATACGTTTTTTAGTTATGCATTTATATTGATATTTGTCAGTATTTAACTTTCTAAAAAAAAAAAAGAAAAAAAAATTATAATATATATATATATATAGTTTAGAATAATATATTTTTAAAATTTAAAACATAAAAATTTCTTAAATACTTACTCATCCAATATATCCAAAATAATACACATTTTCTTTAATGAAATAATTAATTTTTCAATTGTAATAAATTCCTTGGTATAAATACACATACAATCTTTATGATTCCACTCAATTTCAGATTTAATTTCATATTTCTCAAAAAAAAATAATAAGGTACCTAAATTTAATTCAACTAAAAATTCATTATTCTCATTATTTTTATATTGAAAATTAACAAATATTTTTCTTTTTTCAATATTTTCAGGTATATTAGAAAAATATGGGTTATAATGATCTTCATTAATAAAAATATTAAAAGAAGAATTCGTAAAGTCATATTTTATGCTTTTTGCTGTACAAAAATCATACTTTTTTTTTTCAAGAATTTTGAGAAAATTTTTAATAATTTATAAATAAATTTTTTTTTTAAAAAAACAATTCTTATTATAATTTCAATTACCTCAATTAATAGTTTGTTCTTTAATCTAAATTCAATTTCTTCAATCAAAACAAGTTCAATTAAATTTTTCCATTTTTTACATACTGTATAAATAGAACTCATATATTCAAAACTTTTTTTAAAAGTAATAAAATATGATATTAGGAATTTTTAATTTAAAAAAAAAAAAAAATATTATTTGGGAAAATTTTTTAATTATTACCTTGTCTCATTTAATAATTCTTTAAAAGTCATTATTAATAATTCGTTCGCTAAGAGCTGCGCCATAATTGCCATAATTAAATCCTTTTAAGCAATTTTTATCTGTATTCGGTACGTATTTATATAAAAACATTGAAATATCAAACAGGTTGATCGGTCTGTTATTACGAAATAAAATATCAAGAGTCGGCTGAAAAGAGATCAAAAAGATCGTTAAAAACGTCCTCATGATCGTGTGAAATGTCTTAAATTGGTCTTGCTGCGCCAAAATAATTCACACGATTCGTCAAAAAATTCCTGGGACCTGTAATATATTTATCATATTAATTGAACGATCTAAGGAGTAAAAATACTTTTAAAATTATGCTTGTGTAGATTTATTTATTTGATTTAATTAGTTTAAATAGAGAATTAATAAAGTATGTTAAGTATGTAATTATTATTAATCAAAATCAAGAAAAGCGTCAAGATCAAATAATGGAATGTTTTTCTTAATTATATATTTATATCGATTATTATTTGTTTTTAATTTACTAAAAGAAAAAAAATGTGTAAATATTAAAAATAATTTTTAAACATGCAAAAATAAATAAATAAAAAATAAATTTTTTTTCTTCGTTACTTACTCATTCAATAGATCCAAAATAACGCACATTTTTTTTAAAGAAATAATCAATTTTTCAATCGTGATAAGAATACAAAAATAACTATACTTTGAATATTCTCTAGCAGAAATACACATACAATCTTCATAATTCCATTCAATATTAGATTTAATTTCATATTTTTCATGTAAATTTTTTTCTCTAATAAATAATAATGTACCTAAATTAAATTCAACTAAATATTCCTTACTATTTTCATATTTAAAATTAATATACATTCTTCTAGTACACGTTTTCTTTTTTTCAATGTTCTCAGGTATATTAGAGAAATATAATTTAGAGTGATTACCATCTATGAAAATATTAAAAGCGGAATTCGAAAAATCATAACTTATGTTTTGTGTTGAACAATTACTAAAACCATACTTATTTGAGAAAACTTTATTGAATTAGATAAAAGTAATATATATATATATGTGTGTGTAAATATATCAAATTACCTCGATTAATAGCTTGCTTTTTAATCTGAATTCAATTTCTTCAATTAAAACAAGTTCAATTAGTTTTTTCCATTTTTTACATACTAAATAAATAGAATTCATATATTCAAAACTGAAAATAAGAGAGTAGAAGAATATTAGAATCCTTTTAATATTAAAAAAAAAATCATTTTTTTTTTATAGAATTTTTTTTTTTTTCCATACCTTGTTTCGTTTAATAATTCTTTAAATGTCATTATCAATAACTCGTTTGCTAAAAGCTGTGCCATTGATTCAATATACCAACCAGTACAAAATTTTCGGTGTATTTATAATAAAAAAAAAACTATAAACCTATAATAGGTGAGATCGGTGTTATACTATGAAGTTCAAGATCGATTTTGATTGGCCAATTATTTATACCAACACGTAAAATAATTATCTGTCATCTAAAGTACGAACGCGCAACCCAATAAAATTTGATATCGATTGTCGGGTCGAAAAGTAGAAGCAAATTTTATCAACTGAACGAACTATTTCTGTCAAAGAATGACGAAACTTTTAATCTATCCGGTTGGTTCGATCCTGTTGAACACAGCGCGGAAAATTTTAGTCATTATAAAATATTATTGGTGTAATCTAGTATGAAAAATGATGATTGCTTGTAATACCAGTACAAAGCTTGCCATATCAAAATGGTTTGAAAAATATTATTATTATTGGTTCTTTATATTTAATTTTCTAAAGTCGAAGTCTTAGTATGTTTTTAATATCGAATACTTAAATAATTCTCGAATGTTTTAAATAAACGTAAGTGTTTTTTAATTGCTTTCTCATCCAAAGATATCCAGGATTACGTCCATTTCTTTAAATAAATAGCGTATTGTAGATGATGAATACCTATTTAAAAAAAACAATTTAAATCATTACTTTTTCATAAAAGAGACTATTATATTTGAATGAATTAAAGAAATATAGAAATTGACAAAGAAACATACAACAAAACTTAACGGCTATTTCGGTTACATTCTTTCAATTTACGTGTTCTCATCTTTAATCAAATCATTTAGCTTGCGCTTTTTTGATTGGTGATTTACAAAATACTTTCTTTTTTTAAAAAAAAACCCAATAACAAACAATATTAAAATTTTTTCTTTTTTATATACCGCCAAATAGGTTCTTTAAATTTAAATAAAATAAAAATGAAAATTAGAATTTTTATATCGATACATCGAAGTATTAGGTTTAAAATTTATCTGGAATGAAATTTAAATTATTACCTTGTTTCATTAAAATTTATTTAATAATTCGTTCGCTAGAACTGCGCCATTTTGAATTTTTTTTTTATCTCTTTTTTTTTAACGAAAAAATAATTTATATTAAAAGCTAGTAATTAATCTATTATTATCAATAGAAAATTATATTCATTCAACAAACGAATAAATAAAAAACGGTACAAATGTTATTGCGTATTCTTTACACGTTCCAACGGAAGAAAGTCTTTTAAAACATTTTTTGGTTGACGTTAATATAAAGCTTGTTCTCTGTTGTCACGTGCAGGTACGTGATCATAATCAAACCATTTTTATATTACTTTCTATCATTTACGATTAATTAAATTTATTTATTAATCACATTAATCACAAAAATAAACTTTATAAATAAATAATAGCATATGAGAGTTTTATTTAATGAAAAAGTTTGTGAAAAGTCTTTTGATAAAAAATAATCTCATCTGTTTTTATCTTCTAGCTGTCTGCTACCTCGTACATTTTCTTGCAATTATAACAAGTATTTACTAAAATGTTTCCGAATTTCCATTTCATGACGTTAGACTTTTTGTAGCACATATCGCATTCGAAATACCATCCTGGCTTTGGTTTCATCTTTTGAATGGTATGAATCATTTCACGTACTTCATTTTTAGGCTTTCTACGACGCGGTCGAGTATTCTTTCTGGATCTGTGCCAAGCCCGATCAATATAGACACTTTGTTCATCGGTAAGCCAGTTATACCATTTTTGACATGTAAGCGTTAAGGCCAAAGTAGTCTCTGCAGTCGAATATTCCACTATTTTAACAAGGATCTCAAGAGGAAGTCTCATGGCAGCGCACGTAGAAGTCTCATTTCTTAAAGGTTGCTTGTCGTTTGAAAAAGAAAAGTTCGGGCGAATAATGTTATCGCTCAAATCTTTTTTTACATCTTTAATTGGCCTTACTTTTAACTCGCCACTTTTTTTCCCTCGGTAGAATTTTTGAACCGATTCTCTCTTATTCTGTACAATAGATTGATCTATGTATACAATACAATAAAACGTTATTAATCACATTTTACTTTTAATCCGATTTATATTAATTTTCATACCTTCACCATCATCAGGAACATTCTTCTTTTTTCTCTTTGATTTATTATTATTGATGGTGCAATTTGATGATTGATTTTTAATTTTGGAATTAAGGCCAACTAAAAAAATTATTGACCTAAATAGTAAATAATTTGTTATTTTAAACCTTTGTGATTTACGTTTATCGGATCTTACCAACTGCCTTCTTCTTTTTCCCTTTTCTTTTTCTTAATTTATTACTTTTAGGATCACAATAATACTCTGATGATGATGAGTAGAGTTCTGGCTGAAATAAAATATCCGAATTTGATAAATCTACTATTGGATCATTTGTAGTTTCATTGTTTCTGTTAAAATGAAATCGTGTTATTATTTTTAAAATAAAGAATGTGACTGTAACTATATGGTAATTACTTTAAAATCAATTAACAACCTCGGTGAAATCATCGAATAATCCACATATGAAGTATTTTCATATAATTGTTGGGAAGTATAGGGTAGCTGTGAAGTATATATAGAAGATACAGGATTATTATACGAAGATTGTATTGGCAATCTTGTTGATACATTATACTGTTGATAATCAACCCCAGGTGGTGGAGGTTGATTAAAATCTCTGATGTGATCAAAAGAAGTTTCATTCCAGGCTGGAAAAGAAGCATACCAGGAGTAAATTTGTAATGCCATTAAAACTGTAAATATCAATGCAGAAAAAAATTAGAAAAAAATTAGGAAGGAATAAAAATACAAAAATTACAAAGAATATTTTACCTTGTTCAATAAATAATACAGCAAGGTATCGAAAAAAATAAATTAACGAAGATTCTTAAAAGGATAATTTAATCGTATAAAAACAAAACTTGTCAAAAAAAAATTCGTGTTCCAAGTGATCTGTATTCTGTAATATCTATCATTAGTATGTAACACAAATTATTTCCTTTTAAAACGTGACAATCAAGCAGATTGCAAGCTCATCTGTACAATCAAATTCAAATACCAAAAATAATATATAATAATGGGTTGAACAGGAACATTAGATGCTGCATTATCTACTAAATTTAAAGATTATAATAATTTAAGAGTAATTCATTAATAGAAATTTCATAATTATTAAAATTATATTTACTTTCCTTAATAATTTGTATTTATTCTGTTTTAAATATATTTAATATTTAATTCATAAATAATACATATTATAAGTAGAAATATTAAAGACTTATCAGTTATTAGATATATTTAATAAAATAATTTGATTGAATTATTTAAAATATAAGACTAATTTTAATTCAAAATGATTTAACTTGGATGATTTAACCTACTAGTAAATTTTATATAATTATATAATTTTATCCAAATTTTCAAAAAAAAAAATGTAAATTATGATTACAATAAAAAATAAAAGACATTGTCAAAAATATAAGAAAAATAGTATAAAATTAATTTTAACCTAAAATGATTTAATTTAGATGATTTAACCTACTAGTAAATTTTATATAATTATATAATTTGCTTAAATTTTCAAAAAAAAATGTAAATTATGATTACAATAAAAAATGAAAGACATTATCAAAAATGTAAAAACTTGATTATACTCTATAATATCCAAATAAATAAAATTTATACAAAGTGAAATGAATAATAATACAAATAATTTTTTTTAAAAAAAAACAATGTTGAATGTAAAATATAAATTTTAGGGGGTAATTTAACTTAGGTTATTTAATTCAAAAGACAAATTAGCAAAACTCATTTAAATAATTGATTTTTAAATTTAATGTTTATTTTTAAAAATTTGATATTTTAAAAATTTAATACTTATTTTTAAAATATAAATTTTATTAAAATATAAAATAAATGTATTTTTAAAAATATTAGTATATATAAATATTTAGATTTATTAAATTTAATAATTAGATACAATTTAATTTATTTTTGAATTTGATATCTATTTTTTGAAATGTAAATTTAATTAAAAAAAATTAAAATAAATATACAATATTTAAATAAAAATAGCAGAAATTCTATTTTTGTTAATTATTTAAAATTATATATAATAATAATAAGACCCTGTTTACTTATAAGATAGGTTATCACTAGTAGATTTAAGGTAAAAATCATATATAAATTTTTTGCAAATCCTACTATAAAAGGAAATTTTATATTATATTGTTATGATTTTTTTCCTTTTTAGCTAATTAACCAATAGAATTTAGGAAAAAAATAAGATAAAAATTATTAGTAAAGGATTAATTTTCTACAGTGATCTTTATTGTAAGTAAACGAGATCTTAATAATAATACTTATAATTTTAATATGTAATAATATAGATCTAAAGAACACTAATAGTTTGCAAAAATTTTATTTCTCTAATTTTTTTGCCAATTATTAATTAAAATAATTTTATACAGTGCATACAATCTAGTCCCAACAAAAAAATTTTTAAGCAGCCAAATTTTTTACATTATGTAATACTAATCCTGTAATTTTATTGGTCAAATTTATTTAATTTAAATTATAATTCTTAATTCTAGCCAAATTTACATAGTTAATAATTAAACGAAAGTAATTTTGGCCAGACTTATATGTAATTCTGGTCAGAATAAAATGGCCAAATATTTAATTTAATAGTAAAATATTTCAACTTTGAATTGCTACTACTTTATTAAAAAATACTTTACAGGAAATTTAAAAACATAGTTTTATTAAGCTTAATCTGGTTTATCATTGTACATTTATACTTTATATTTATCTTTTTTTTTTGAATGAATAGTAGTGATTTAAATTTCATCAAATTTAATTGCTGGGACTAAGTTGTATGCACTGTATAACTATAATTGAATATTTCATTATGTAGCTAGCTTAAAAAAGAAATTTTTAATACAATGTTTATACAAATTAAGTAAACTAATAATTCATTATATATATTATAAATTTTCATTATTATTTTCTCTTTGATAATATTTTTTTTGCATATATAAGAAAATTCATCTTAAAAATGAAGTTTTTTTACCTTCAGATATAACTTAAAAGTAAGTGTAAAGTACAATTTAAACAATAAAAATATATGTAATTTGTTCTGTAAGTTTCTAGATATAAAGATGATTTAAAAAGACATATTATCTAAAATAAGCAGTATAAAATTTATAATATAATGTGAAATAATTTTAAACACCAATAATAAGTGGAAAATAAATCCTATAAGATAAAAAAAGCTTATAACAACGATATTTTTATTAACGAAGATTTTGTTTAATGTTAACTACTTACAATAAAATATCTTTATACTAATAGATTTTTGCTTTTTAAGATACTTGATGATGCTATCAAGAAGTATATGATATTTTTATAATAGAAAAAATACCTTTATAAGAAATATCTTTAGAAAACTTTTATTAATTTACTGGACTTTTTTAAATGTGACTCCTTTATATCTTTTCCTTCAATAAATATTATTTACTTCTATTCACCAGCCTTTTTATTCACTAAATCACAAGACCTCTAATTAAAAAACTTTTTAAGTGTTTTTAAAAATTTAACACATTTGAAACTTGATATAAAGTGTAAAAGCTATAATGAGGGTTTTAACTAAAATAGCCTCTAATCTTGCTACCAATACATTTTGTCTCAGTAGACTTTGAAAAAAATTAAAAAATCTAAATGTTTCAGAAAAAATAATCTTTACTATATTGAATTGAAAGTTGATTTACTTATTTAATAAATCCAAAAAGAGCATAATAAATAATGTGAAGATGAAGGGATTTATTATCCAGATTATTCAGTTTCTTATTGGAATCATTTTAAACTTATATGATATATCTAATATACCTCACAGATAAGCCTTAGTTGATGTAATAATAATACTTTATATTTTTATAATTATCATATAGTATAGCATATTACATATTTCAGATAGGGATTGGAATCGAAAATCGAATCTTTTCAAGATTTTTCTAATAGACGACCAACCTGACTTTGAATCAGTTTCTAATTTCAGCAAAAATAATCAGCACTTGGCCGGCATGAAAAATTACTTTGGAGTCAGGTTAACTTACATATAAAAAATTGCTGAGAATCGATTCTCGAGAATCGATTTTACTATGTTTTGTCAATTTTCGATTAATCGATTCCAATCCCTAATTTCAGATTAGATGAAAAATTTGTTATTTTTTTTTCTTTAATATATACATTTGAAAAAAAGAAAAACTAATAGAATATGTATTTCACAGATTGATAGATTAAAGAAGGGCAGAATTATTTTGAAAAATGTCATATATTTAGAAAATAGAAATATGGTTATAAAGTTTGTAATCATCACTCATATTTATATTACAAAGGTGTAAAAAGATAGTAGAAGAAAATATATAAGCAATATGAATATTCTTGAGTTTACTTACAATTTATAATCAAAAAATTCAGTTATGTAATTCTATCTGATCATTTTTCAAGAAAATTGGTTTCAAAAATTATATGATGATTTAATAGTATAGGTTACACTTGTGATGCAATATAATTGATAATATAATAGATTTGTACAATATATAAATATATTTTTTTTTTAACAATTAATAAAATAAAAATATAATTAGTGCAATTAATTTATCAGATATTATATTTTTTCATATAGTATCAGTTAAGGAATTGAAGGAATTGTGTATACTAAAATTTCTTGAACAAGTTTCAAATTATCATTGATAAATATATAGTAATGTTAAAAATAATAACATATATCACAGGAACAAGTAATTGCATGTATTTTTTTGAATTTTCCTGCATATATTTCAAAACTTTATGTATAACAAAAAAAACCTTCTTATTGATTTTTGTATATAAGTAATGCCAAAGTTTTTTTATTATGATTTTAAGCAGTTCTGTTAATCAGATTTTCATAATGTAATTATATTAATGTAATTTTATTCAAAAGTTTATAAAAAATCAATCCTGCAAATTATATAAAAAGGTATATATATCTGGTTAGTGAATTCTTTTATCTGTTTTGTACAAGAAAAGCAAAAATCAAGCAAAAATTTAACTATTCAGGTCTTATCATTATTTACAGTATATCATCAATATTATTTATTAAATGAACTTATATATTTCACAAAGTAATAATAAGGTAAGTTGATTTATTATTTAGTTAAATTCTTACTTGAAATATATTATTATAACATTAATTAATTTTCTGCCTCTATAGATGTTTCATAATAAAATGTTTATATTACTCTTCTTGTTATATATTGGCATTTTGATCTTTGCCAAGAAATCTTTAACAATCATCATAAGTATAATAGGTATAGTGAAATTATTCATATGAATCTTATTATATATAAAGGCATAGCAAAAGTTTTGTGCAGTACATCAAAAAATAATATTTGGTGTAGTATCCAAAAAATTTCTTAAAAGCCAAGGTGAATTGAATATTCTGAAAATAAAACATAACAGTAAGTGTGAATTGGTAATTAAGGTTGCTTGTCTAAACCTCTTCAAAATCCTACGATTAGTTTCATCAAAATTTTACTATAGATTTATTATAGTTTTGGCAGAGTTTCAGCAGTTTCGGCATTTATAATAAGTTTTGGCAGTTTTGCTTTTCTCCAAAGTTTTGCCAGTTTTTTAATATAACTTTAATAAAGTTTTGGCAGAATTTCACTTTTCGGCAAAACGCCATCTTGCCTAAATCCTAGGTTTCGGCAAGCAACCTTATTGGTAACATTACATTACTTTTTTTATATCAGTTGCAATTTGAAATTATTCAATTTCATGAAAGTTTCCTTGCAGAACTTAGCTAAAATCAAAATTATATAATCTGTGTTGATATGAGTGATTTATATTGGTGAGGATCTTGTAAACATAATTTATTTCATATAAAA